CTGCAACTACTACTACTACTACTACTACTACTACTACTACTACTACTACTACTACTACTACTACTACTACTACTACTACTACTACTACTACTACTACTATGATTGGTATTATTTCTACTTCTACTTTTACGACCACGACGATGACCACGTAGACAACGACCTTTTATTTCCCGAAAACCAATACTTGTTGCTAGCAGTGTCAAAGCAAACGGTATCATGTCTTAAATCCAACTAAACATCGTTAAAACTTTATTCTTTAAATAAATGTGTGCCTTCTGTCGCTTCTCCCCCACATTGTGTTTTGCGTTTGGACGTAATCGCTGTTATTTCACCAACACGTATAAGCCGTATGTGAAGATATTGAAATGCAATAAAAAAGGATACAAGACACGGCATAGAATTTCCAGGATTTTGGCCCGAAACTCATTAATCCCAGAGAGACTAATTGCTTTTTGCTTAGAACTTCAATTAGAAGCTAAACCAGTGTCTGTGATGTAACCATAGATTTATAATCTCATTAGACAGATCGCTCTGACGTTGTTCCGGTTTCTTTTGGAACGCATTATATGGTATCTCAAACTGTATTTATTGCATCTTATAAGGGGACAAAAGGGTTACTTTTGCAATCTCGAAGATGAGACAATTGTTATTGTTTTATGCCCCCATCGACACCAAATTAGGTTATTTAGGAGACTGGCTGCTCCCGCCCTGCGATATTTAAAAAAAATCCCAGTATGTATGTATGTCTGCTGGGAGGCTGCTAGCATCCAGATGTACCATGACGTGTCCTCTCAAGAATCGAACGCCTGTCTTCTATGAGTGACAGCGATAAGCAAAACCATTACTCCACATTGCAGTCCCCAGACGTTAGTTTTACCCTCAATCGATATTTTCTATTTCAGGTGTCATGGTGTTTAACTGGCTCATGGTCCTCCTCTTGTTCATCTGCCTGTGGTGCTCCTTCGACTCAGCGGGCAGGAAGTGGGTCAAGATGAAGAAGTTCCAGGACAGTCTCAAGGAGAGACGCCAGGAACGCCGAAGGGGGAATAACCGAAAGCAGTCTGGCAGTCGTCGAAATTGGCGCCAACGGTAAACACTCTAACTGTTGTGCATTTGTTGTAATTATCCAAAATCTCTGGTTGCCGTTAGTGATTCGTAACCTTTGCCAAACTAATGAAACCTTACCATCCCCAGAATCCTTACTATCCCCAGGATAATTAGTGCACTTAGCGTTTCTGCAAGATTGATCGGAAGTTCCGATACAACAGGGAAATGAAATAACAAATGAAATTATTTGCCAAGTCAAAGAAAGAAACTTGATCTTCCAGCTAGGAATGATGATGTTATTAACTGAATTACAAATCTTCTTATTAATCTGTATTTGACACGGATGATAAAGTTAAAGTACATTGTACTCACAAACTGAACCTAATTAAGCTTTTCTACTAATTTTCCCTTCTTTTCCCTACGCTCGGAAAATTTGGATCATCGTGTAGTTACCGTGTTGCCCATAGGTATAGTATTCGATTAGTGAGGCTTTTGCACTCTATTGTTTTTAGTTCTGTCATGTTTTGCAAAGTTTAAAATGTTCTTTGGAGATCAACTCCAGCCATTAGGCCTACATTTTCACCGTGTTTCTTCTAACTCGCTCTTTTCTATCACCCTACTTTCCGATCTTTAACTTTTCATTCTCTGACATTTCGTTTTTTCTTTGTCTTGTGTCCCCTCTTATAACGATAGAAATAATGTGATAACATTTCGGTGTTTTGAAATGAGAGAAACAGCACCAAATGATGAGGATTTCTTTTTTAAAACATTCATAGGTGAAATTTAATAATTAACTGAGGCAAACATAATTGCGAACATCGTTGCCAATACTGTGGATAATTTTGCTACTTTGGTTATTTTTCAGTTATGTATCAAACGCAAGAGTGCATTTACAAAGGAATAATATTATAGTGGGCATAAATAAACAAGTAGGAAATAGAATAGGGACACAAAAAAGGAACAAAATCTCTATACCAGGGTTGAAAAGCAAACTTGGAAATGCAGAGAAAGATCGACATCGTTCTATCAGTGGAAGTTTTCCAGGCTGGTAAAATGTTGCTCTTTCTTTTTAAAACTTAAATTCGAGAAGTCCTATTGCCAGGGTCTCAAGTGTGATGGTCGGACTCTGCCGTTGCACACAAAATTATTTGACATGTTTTCGATTCCCGCGTATAATATATTTTCATCTAGCATCTCTGTATGTCTACTAGGATGCTGCGTGGATCCCACTCAGCCTAGAGAGGTCCTGAAAGGACGTAGAAACAAACCAGCCGCTTTTTAAATTGATGTAAATAGTGTCTTTGGGGCCGTAATGCATTACGATTCCTTTCAAAGACTGTTGTTCTAAAGTCTTTAGTCGTCTTGTGATATAGACGGGATAGCCTGTAGGGTTAACGTCGGTGCCTGTCTTGACAGCTGCCGCGCCACTCTAGAAAAGCCACAACCCTGCAAACATTGAACGTGTGTGCATGTTTTGGTGTCTGTTTCATAATAAACCCTCCTGGCTTCGTATTCATCAATCCCTCTCCCACCCGCCTTTAGAAAAATGGCTTGGGTTTCCTTGATCACTGATTTTTTTCAGTATGTACAATGATGGCAGAAGATGAAGAACACCTGCAGAATCTATTAAATGTCATCGTACAAGAGAGTGACAACATGGGCTTAAACCTAAACATCAAGAAAACCGAAACGATGGTGATAAGCAGAAAGACTCCAATCCCAACATGCAATATCAAAATCAATGATACCACCCTCAAGCAAGT